ATTAATTAGTAGTATTTCGAGGCAAAATGAGCCGAACACGAACGAACAAAAATTTGTCTGTGTTATTCGCGTCCGACTCGTTAACTCAGTGAACGAGCCGAACATGAGCTTCTTAATGAGCCAAAAACAAGCTGTCGCGAACAACGAACCGTTTTGACAGCCCTAGACTTGAAGAGTTCAAAGAGCAGAGATTATTTCATATTATTTTAATAGACAAGGAGTTCAAAGAGCAGAGATTATTTCATATTATTTTATAGATGAAAGCATTATTATAAATAAAAATTATAGTTAATTATGTTATGTATGTGTAGCAGTCTGTTAAGTTAATTTAAAAAGCACTAAATCTATGCAATTTAAACTCTGACAGCAATTTCTGTTAATATTTTGTGGATGAAATCATTAAATACTATACCAAAAAGAAATTTATTAATTATGTAATGTACGTAGCAGTCAGTTATAATAGCTTAAAAAGCACAATTTAAACTCTGACAGGAATTTCTGTTAATATTTTGTGGGTGAAATCATTAAATATTATACCCAAAAAAAATTATTAATTATGTAATGTACGTAGCAGTCAGTTATAAGGTTATGAGAGTCCCAACAAAGGACTTGATTCTCATATTAACCAATCATACTTAGTCTTTATTTCATATTGATATATATGATTAAGATATATATATATAGCTATCAAAATGGTTCGTTGTTCGCGAACAGCTCGTGCTCAGCTAACTAATCATAGTCAGTCTTTATTTCATATTGTTTGATAAATTTGTTTAATAATAATATTACTGTTATTATTCGTTAAATATATTTATATATAATAAATGTTTCTAGACAAAAAATGCAAATAACAATAAAAATAATACTATCAAATTTATAAGAAAAATATAAATGTAGAAAAACATAAAATTTAACAAAAATATAATTAAAATTATCATATTCACTACATATGCAAGTCTTTTAATTCATGACCTTCGAGTTGAGAAACACACATCCATCAATCGAGATCAAGATAAAAGTTTATATGTTAGACATGTAAATACATAAAGAATATTGTTATGAACCGAACACGAACGAACAGAGCTCATTCGTGTTCGGTTCTTTTGAAATTAGTTTATTTGAAATAAACTCGTGCTCGAAATTGTTCGTGAAGTCACTATTCGTGTTCGTTTATTAACGAACAAGGCAAACACGAGCTGTTTGCGAATAACGAGCTAGTTTGACATCCTTGATATTAATATATATAAATAATATATTATATTAATTATATAACTTATATTATTTAAATATAAAATAGCTATATTAGTATTAAAATTTAATTTTTTAAAATATCATAAAATTTTAATATATAATTATTTTGAATTATTTTACATTTCAAACACAAACGAACGCATCACTGTTCGTGTTTGGTTCTGTCCGTTTAACTAACCAAAAAAATTTGTTCACATTCTTCTCGTTTACTTATCGAACGAATCGAACACGAACTCATTGATGAACCAAACACTGACTGTTTAAGCCGAACACGAGCTGTTGGCGAGATGTTTTGACAGCCGTAGTCATATTTAGTGAGATTCCCCCCTTAAATTATTTGAGTTGCAATTTTTATTTTCTAGAAATCATGCATTAATATAAAAAATAAACATAAACTAGCAGTGTAATTATTGAGCTAATACGCTAAAAGCTAAGCTTAGCTTTTAATTGTTTTCACTAGGTTTCCATAAACTTAACATTAAATAATTACATATTATTTTATAAATTACTCACAAGTTTTCTGGTCCTGACATTCTGCCACAAGAAGCAACCCATCCATCCCACAGGCCACAGTTCATCATCCTCTCCACTTGCTCTCTCTCTCTCTCTCTCTCTCTTTCTCTCTCTCTCTAAATCATCTCCATCCCTGTCAATAATTCTTTCCCCTGCATGCGCCCTCTTGTCGCCTAGCTCTTGGGACAGAACCTTCCACCTCCCATTATTCCTCCCCTCTCTCTCCCTCTGCACCCACTTTCTTCTTTCTCCACCACTTCGCCCATACCATTCTGCGCATCATGGTTGCCAAACTCGATCACGGCGCATCCTCCGCGCAGCAGAACACCAACTCTCCCCCACTCAACTGCCCCCGCTGCGACTCCACCAACACAAAGTTCTGCTACTACAACAACTACAGCCTCGCCCAGCCTCGCCACTTCTGCAAATCCTGCAAGCGGTACTGGACCCGCGGCGGAACCCTCCGCAACGTCCCCGTCGGCGGCGGCTCCCGCAAGAACAAGCGATCCAAGAAATCATCTCAATCTCACCGACCCTCCTCCTCCATCGCCGACACCACCCCTTCCCTTCCACAGCCTCCACCCACTGATCTCAATTCCTTGCTCTATGCTTTTCCCCCGATCATCAATTCCTCGACCGTCTTCTTCCCTAAATTCGATTTCGATCCGCAGGTTCCTGAATTTGAAGAAAACTTCCAGCCCTGCCATGGCGCTGCAAATCTGGCCGATTTACAGAAAACGGCGACAAATTTTCTTGGGGATTATTCGCTGAATTCTCAAATGCTTGCTTCTTCGGGTCCGATGGTTGCAGAGACATTCCAGCCATTGATGCCCTATGATGATCTCGAAATCGGAGCAGGGAACAACGCTTCAAATAAATCAATAGATTGGCCGCATGTGGTGAAGGAGATTAATCCATTAGAAGCTACGAGTTCGGGCGCCGGTGCTGCTGCGCAGTCTGGTTATCAGTACTGGAATCGGGCGACGAGCAGCAGCTGGCCGGAATCCGGGTCGTCGGTTGCCCCTCTTATCTAACTGGCAAAACCAAACATGCTAATTATTTTCTCAATTGATCATCAAGCTTGGCTCTAATCTTCTTGTCCTGTTCTTAGTATTACATAAACTGATCAGACCAGATGGATCGGAGAGATCATGTCGGATGCGAAGGCCTCTCCGGCGCCTCGTGCTGTTTTTGAGTCATTGCGGCGTTGAGAGAAATCTATTTGCTCCGAGAGGAACCTCGGATCCATTGCATCATCAGCTTATTTCATTAAAAGTTATTGTTTTTCTCCAGCAAAAAGTATCAGAATTTGGAGATCGGAAGGAAATGAATTTAGATGGAGGGTGGCTTTTTTATCTGTTTTGTAAGTTTGTTTTGTTAATTATATGTACATACCAAGCCATAGCTATGGTTACATATCTTCATGCTTCTTCTTCTTCTTCTTCTGGTTTTGGTTCGGACTGATCTCCAAAACTCCATAATTTGCTTTCCTTTCTGTTCCTGCCTTAATTTTAAAGGAAACTGATTCTGATTAAAAGCTGTTAAGATTTAGAGTGAGGGAGAACAGTGATGACTAATGAGCTGCTTATTACAGTTCTTTAATGGGGAGTCACATATTAATTTTCATAAAAAAATTTAGAATTTTGGAGAATTTTTTTTTTAATATATTTCACTGGTTCCAAAGTTTGTTATTAAACTGGTACAGTTGAATCATTCTTTGTTTGCGGTCTTCATGATTTACTTGAAACAAACTGCATAAAGTACTGCATGTGTGCAGGCTCTCAGATGTGCAATGTTGTAAGTGCTTTTCTGGACTCATTTGAAAAAAAGGTATCTTCTTTCACATTGGAACCTTTATTACCATGGCTTGCTTTATTAAAAATTAGCTCAAAGTTACAGTTTTTGACCTTCTTTCACATTGGAACCTTTATTACCATGGCTTGCTTTATTAAAAATTAGCTCAAAGTTACAATTATTTTACCAGCTTTACTTATTCTTCAATAAATTTTTTTTTTATGAATTTTGTATTCCATTTTTTTGTAAGTTTTTTTGTTTTTTCTTATTTGTCAGATTTGTACAAAGTTGCTTTGTGAGTATTTTATGAACTTTGTATTCCATTTTTTGTAAGTTTTTTTGTTTTTTTATTTGTCAGATTTGTACAAAGTTGCTTTGTGAGTTTCTTCTCATTTATTATCTTGCATTATTTTGACATAATGATCTTACTAATTCTTTTTATTATGGCGCATTAATTATTAATGGTATCATTTATACCAAATATTGTCGGTCCTCATCATACAGAATGATAATTCACGTTATACACATTGCAAGACATTTTCTGACAGAAAAAAATAAGATGGAACAAAATCATGCATTTGAAGGAGAAATAATACGGGCATCTTAGAAGAACACATGCAAGCTTACTTTTTTCTGTTTCTGCATTCCCAAATCCATCAAGATAACCTTTATAACTGTTACTAAATAATCATAGATATCATTTAAATATGGCATCATAGAACTTCTAAGGATTTACATACTTGCAACTTAATTCTTATGTATTTACATGTCTAGACACCTAAATTTCATTTTTTACATGTATAGCCGCATTGCCTATACTTGAAAAGGGGTACTTCTTTTTTGTTCTTTTTTAAATTAGAATAGTGACGTTGTTTATGTGATATGAAAGATTTGGATAGTATAAATTTAAAAAGTGAAATTTAGGTGTTTGATATGTAAATACATAAGAATTGGGTGGTATGCATGTAAATGCCCCCTACGAATTATGCTTAGTTTATAAGATTGTATAGTTCTATTCTCTTTATAGATTTGGACATTTTCATATAAATTTGGTGTAGGGATTCCTAGTTGTTTCCTAATTTTCAAGTCGGTAGCTCACATTTCAAACTATTATTGTTATTTTTATAATAATTTGTCTTTGACGTAGTATTTTGAGAGATTTATCTTCCTTTGAAGACTTTTTTTTAAAAAAATTAAAAATGCCTCTTATGTTCATTGTTTATCTGCGAACTAATTTCCATGCGGTGAAACAGTTTATTTGTGCTTCATTTGTTCTCTTTTTTTCTTAAAGATTAAATGAGCAGTTCTTAAGCTTTTTGATTTGATGTAATAAATATGATAAAAAGTAGAGTTAGAAGCAATTTCTTCTATGGCGTTTTAGACTGTGTTGAAGCTTGTGATCTAGTTTTTATTGGGTTTGGATTGCAAAGTTCATGGTGCGAACCAGTGCAACCTAAATTATGAAAAACTTTTGGGATGATCTTTGATGAATATATATATATATATATATG